GAAATCTTGCCATTTGCAACAATGTGGATGGAACTAGAGTATACTATGATAAATGAAATAAGTCAATCAGAGAAAGACAAATATCATATGATTTCATTCATATGTGAAATTTAAGAAACAAAACAGATGAATATAGGGGAGGGGAAGAAAAAATAAAATAAGATAAAGACAGAGGCAAACCATAGGAGACTGTAGTATAGGGAACAAACAGAGTTGAGGGAGGGGAGGTGGGTGGGGGGGATGGACTAGATGGGTGATGGGCATCAAAGAAGGCACTTTTTATGATGAACACTGGGTGTTATATGTAAGTGATGAATCACTAAATTTTACTCCTGAAACCAATACTACTCTGTATGTTAACTAACTTGAATTTACATTTAAAAAAAAAGAAAAACACTCTTCCAAGAAATACTCCGGTTAGATTACAAATAAAAGTATGAAATCTATACAAAATATAAGAAAAATGAGTGAGTAACAGTAACTTTTTCGTGGTCTAAACAAAAAGAATATGGATAGACAGAGAGATGATAAAGAAAGAGAGAGAGATACTATAAAATATCAGTACAGGAAGATAGGTGAGAACAAGAAGGATAAGGTAAGACCATACTCAGGAAGATTTTTACTTAAGGATACAACATAAATCTTTGTGAACAATGAGATAGATATAGAAAAAATATAACTATGCATTTTGAAAAGTTAGAGTAACAAAACAAAGAAAAAAAGAAAAACGTAACTTGTTCAATGGAGGATAGAAAAAAAGATGACAAATAATCAAAGTATAGTAATTTTAAAATATGAAAAAAATAAAACCTAATAGTAATAACAATAATGTAAATGGTTTAACACACTGTTCAAGAAACTCTCTCTCAAACTGTAAGAGGTATTGTAACATTTAACTAATGTAAGAGATAAAGCTGAAAATAAAGTGAAAAGATGTCCCACAAATATGACTAAAAGGAAACTACAGCAGCAATGTTAATATTAGACCATATAAAATTTGATAAAATTTTAAAAGAAAAATAATACCAAATGATCATAAATTCATTTACACCTCAAAATATCCACAGCAACAATTTGTCAGAATTCTACAGAAAAATAAAGCAATAATTGCAGTTAAATATTTGAACTCACTTCTCTCAAAACCACAAATTTGAATTTAGTCTTCTCTTCACCTACTATTTAGGACAGGCCTTGAGTCTTGTCATCCTGTAAACCACTCATTTCTAAAATCTTAAATTCCATTATCTCACTCATCAAAATGCAATCTTCCTTTTAGATGCAGTCTAGACCCTGTTGCAAATCAACTAAACAATTTTCAGTTTAGGACCGTCTATGTCTTTGCCTTGTTATCTTTCTGCCTAGCCATCCTAAACATCTCCACCTTCTGTCAACTCTGAATTCAAGGTGGTAGAATGATTTCTGCCCACCATCCTACTGACATTCCTTTTGTTGCCATTTTCTTGACTGCTTGACTGCCAAATTCAATAGATATTTACCAGCTTTTGTTTTACTAGACTCAGCTACCAGAGCATTTAGATCATTCCTTCCTTCTTTAAACTAACTCTTTGGCTTCGAGGACACTACACTCGCTATCTTTTTATTTTACCTTTACAGCCCCTCTTCTCTGACCACCCCTTAAATATTGTTGATGGCTCAATCCCGTCCTTTCTTCACAGCTCTCATGAGCTTTCTTTCTCATTTGAGCTTTCAAGTACTCCCCACATGCTGACAAGTCTCAACTATTTTCCTCCAGTCTGGACTACTCTCCTCGGGGAAAACTGGGATCTCTAGCTGTCACTAGCATCTCCACATGGTGGTCTCCCAGATACCTCAACTCTAACATGTTCTAATAGAGGGTCTCATCCCCTCTCACTGCATTATAGAAATAACCTCCCAACTGGTTTTCTCCCTCCAGGACCCCTCCCCTACATAGCTGACAATGATATTAAAGTCAAATCCAATTATGTCACCCCAAACCCCACATTGAAACCTTTCACTCTATGCTGAGCATAGAGTGCCAACCTTTCCGTGATTTGTCCATTGCCTATATCTCTGGTGTCACCTTTTGCCACAATCTGCCTACTCTTTTTCTGCTCACCTCATTCTCTTCTGTTCCCCATCTTTATTCTTCACTGGTGCTATCTCATCTAGCTAAATGCCCCACTAGCCACTTTCTCTGACTAAGTTTTACTACTGACATTTCTGAATAAGAACAGCACTTTCATGCTCCTATTTATACCATTGTCCTTTCTACATAATATCATAATTATTTGCTAATGTTTTTTTTTCTCTCCCCTTCAACTTATACTTCCTACGAGATACAACAGATAAGAAAACAAGACAATGAATAATTAAAATGTAGCATGTGCTGTGAAAATGCTATGATTAGTGCAATTTTTGTCCATATGATATAGGTATTGCCATGAAAAGGCAGAGAATAAGCATTCTTCTACACAGAGAACCACCAGTAAAAGCACCTTAGAGAAGAAACCTGAAATGGATTTTGAAGAGTTACAATTATCTAGCAAAATGCTGGAGACTGAATGAGTAGTTGGCAAAGAAAGGACAGGAGAGGAGAGAACCTGGGCCACTAGTGAGAATCACTAGTGAACCCATATGACTGAAGCACAGAGTGGCATGCGGCCGCCAAATGATAAATCTGGATCAGGAGGCAAGGGTTAAGTGTGGAAGGGTCCTGTGCACCATGAGTACAAATTTGGATTTTATCCTGGAAAGGCCCAGGATAAAAAGAAAAAAAAAGCTTCTTTTGATTTTCTATTTCATTGTCTCAGAAACCATTCGTCATCATCAAGTTACTCCTAATACCAACCCCCAAATCCTGAATCTAAGGATGCTCTACACAGACTTATTCTGTGGTAACTATATTTTCTGAGGTCTTCTCTGAATTAATGAACTGCTCTCTGATGTCATAGGAAGACAAGCTTAGGAGAAAGAAACACCAAAGGATGGCAACAGCCACTCTCTCCCGAGCCCCCACTCTGCCTTTGTGTTTGGAACTTTAAAAATGCAAGCATCAAAACAACTCTTCAAGTCGTAGAAATGCTGGGAAGGTTAAGGATTGAGACCACGCGGCTAGTAAGTGGTAGCTCTAACCCCATACGGTCTGACTCTAAAGACTGCACACTTGCTGCTTTGTGACATGGACGCCTAGCACGAATCAAAGAATATTAGGAAATTGCAACAACATAGGATACATCTTAGCTATGAAAGATAACAAGACCGTGAATGGTGGCCAGATGTGAAAATGCGCACTTGATAAGCCGAATCAAAGAGAACACACACTGATTAAAACTATAACACACTGGATAACATTATGATTAGACATTAATGACAGAAGAAACTTTATATACCTAGTTGAAAATACAACGGTTTAAAAAAATAGGAAAAAATCTTCTGTAGCCAATATGCACATCGCCCCTAGAACTCCACACCTCTTGAGGCTTTCAACCATTCCAGACATGCAACTTTGACACCATCGAAAAGACCACTACGATCAAATAAATTTCCTTGAAAACGTGAAAAATTATAAAAGAAAAAGTAACCTGTGTGTCTAGAGAATAAAAACATTTACTAAGAAAAACTGAGAACACTGATATATGTTACTTATCCTTTCTTATTTTTTAGAAAACGTATTTCATAAGATACATGATAAGATAATTTTCTGGGTTTTGCCTAGGACTGGCATATGCATATCCTTTGGGATTTTTTTTCCCTTTAGAAATCAATCTTCTGCACCATGAAATGAACTTGGGAAGAAGGGGGTTATAAGATAAATTGTATTGGTTGAGTTCTAATATTTACTATACAGATGATTTTCATCCTACATATATTTTTATGATCTTCTTAGAGTGAATAGAAAACCTACCTCTACATTCACTTTTTTAAACAAAATTCCTTAGATATCCACTACTGAGAAGTTTAAGTAAATATACATGTAAAGATTTATGCTCAGCTTTGGATTTCAAAGACTCCTGTTTTATGGTTGTTTTATATTTATTAAACAGTCTACCAGATCCTTATTATTTTCCCTTTTCCAGATTAAAGTAAAATTGGCAAAAAATGAAATCTTCCTCTGTCACTTGTAATTCACATAATGGGATACTGAGCATTACTCTTTGGTGACTGGAGGCTACAGACTTAATAGCTAAAAAGCAGCAACCTGAAATCAGTAATCATCAGGAATGTAGATTGGGAGATTAAACGTGGGAGATCATAGGATCATGGCTCCATCTAACAAATCAAATGGAAAAAAAGAAAAAGAAAGGAATAGAAATTTCAGCTATGAATGTAGTTTTCTGCAGTGAGATATTAAAAGAAGTCTTTTTCCCCAGGTCTAGTGGTTTGTCAGTTCAATTAATTCTTCAGTACTTTTTGAAGATTCGTTCATAAGCAGGTCACAATAAATATAAACCCCATGACATCACACATTTTTATTCATTTTGTATCCCAGGCACCTCTAAATTCCTGTAATTTAGTAAATGGTAGACATGTATTTGTGAAAACTATAAATGAGTAAATAGTTAATAGTAAGAAATCCAGATACGATTCCATAAAATGTTAAGTGCAATAAGCTTTTTAGTCTTATTTCGGAGCACATATTGACTGCTGTTTAAAAAACTTCTTCCTATTTTATTTTAATGGGTATTTAAGATAATATAACTATTGATAAATATTTTAACTAAATATACCAGGAAATCTTTACAGAGCTAAATGTCTCTAATATAAATTACTGTTAGAGCTTAGTTTGACTCACACTGATACATAACTGAAATCAGTATTGAAAAATGAGTTGTTATATTTTATTATGCATAGTAATTAAGATGTGCATAACTAACTATTATATATGAATCCATGAAGACATCCCTTGTGTTAAATGCATTTGAATTTGGAATGTTTACTATAAAAATGTAGACTTCAATTTCTTTACATTTTTTCTCAAAACCTGATTATAGGTTTTCATAAGTAGCTATTAGACATACATGCCATTCCACATTGTCATCTTCTTTCCCAAGAGTTAGTAACTTGGTGAGTGGATTTCCAGTAAGGCCAGTGTCACTCTCGGGAGAAGGGTGCCCATGCTGTAGCAGAAGCGCACTGCTTGGCGTTGGAGGCTGTGACCGTTTAAGAGTCTGGTTGACGATTTGGTAGTCAAGGGTCATGAAGGGTTTTACTTGTCTCTGCACTTTCTGTAGCTGGGACTTCGCAGGACTTTCCAGGTGTGCTGAGACCTACAAAATAGAAACAGAACAAACGTGTGGTAACATTTGGTGAATTCGAGTTCCACCTTCAACAACTGAATTATGACAGACACACCACAATATCTGCTTCTCTCAAATTTATGATTCGTGCTTCTGTCATAATTTATACAAGATACTAGTAGGTGATAGTTTTTAAGAAGTAATTTAAACTTACTAAAATATTTTTAGTGCTAATTCATTTTTTAAAGAATAGCCCTCAAAATAATATGCAGCCGAACCAAAATTTGGAATAAACACATAAGCCCCGATACTTTTTGAGGTTCCAGAAAAGAAAGCCTAAAATAATACAAGGAAAATATAGCTGATTCACTATTATTAGTAATTTTCATATAATATGTATTTTCTGGATTTTTTATATTACAAATAATATTCTATGGGACGTAATCACAACTATTTTTTATTAAATATATATATGTATATTTACGTTTGTTTATTTATTTTGAGAAAGAGAGAGCAATGGGGGAGGGGCAGAGAGAGAGAGGGAGAGAGAGAAAATCCCAAGCAGGCTCTGCACTGGCGATGTGGGTCGGCTGCTGTGTGAGATCATGACCTGAGCCAAGACTCAACCGAAGTGAGCCACACCAGGCTTACTTCATTATTTTAATATTTTATTATTTATTCTTGAGAGACAGAGAGAGACAGAGCGTGAGCGGGGGAAGGGCAGCGAGAGGGAGAAACAGAGTCTAAAGCAGGCTCCAGGCTCTGAGCTGTCTCCACAGAGCCCTACGCAGGGCTTGAACTCACAAGCTGTGAGATCGTGACCTGAGCTAGTCGGAGGTTTAACCAACTGAGCCACCCAGGTGCCCCTCATGGGCCTCTGCTCCAAGATGGAGCAGAACTAGAAATATATATACTAAATATGAAATGTGATTCTTTATGGGTGGTGAATATGTAGGTGACTTTTTTTTTTTTTTT